CTAATCACTATGGTTCACAACTGAAACTAAAATGTTATTGTATGCCAGCTATAGTAGAAAAAAGAAATTGTCAAATTGTACAATGTAAACATAAGTAACTAGCTGTCTATGTCAATAAAGCTGGGTGGGGGGCGGATCTAATTACAGCTGAAGGAAGAGAGTTTGCTAGTAGAACAGTTCATTGGGAAAATTCAGAAACATCAACATCAACTCCAATAATAATGATTCTATTACAACTGAAAATTCTGCATTAAACGCTTCTCCCCACAAAGATAATATGTCACGTTAAAAGATCATGTTAAATTTACTCGTGAATGTTTTTCCATTGAGTTTAGCTTGGATCAACCTGTGTGGAGCACAGAAGATTGGAAGACCTTTACGATTCAGTTCTAAATGATAATGTTGTTGGAAATATAGTAGATTGGGTACTAAAGTTTCCACATTTCTAAAGTAATGAAATTAGGCTCTCTTGCAGAATGTATAGGCCGTGTCCTTGGACCCATTGTCACTGAAGCCATCTTTATTTTCAGAGGGAACATGTTAATTAGCCTATTATAGCATGCTCCATTTGTATTTATGTAACGTGTGTGAATGTTTTTTACGTTTTCATATTTCTCTATATACAAATACACCTGAAGGCAAAGGTAAATAAAACAAAGACAAAACTAAATGTTTTTAGTTTTTGTTGAACCCTACTTTATAGGCTTCCTAAGTTTCTTCATGTGTCAGATTCTCGTATTTTATTCTGTTCTCATTTTATTCTATTGTCAGTAAATAATGCATGTAATGAGCTATTATCATCAAAGTACCTGTAGAATATTTGATTTTATTTAAAAAGATTACTCTTCCCCATCTTCCAAATATAATACAGAACACATTTTTTTTTCCTTTACATGCTAGATCTTTATTTGCGTAGCTCCGTGGAAAACAGATAACTTCATAAAGCACACAGATGTAGGGTGAGCTGTCAAGTGAACTGCTGAAGAGGCTGCTTCTAAAATCTCCCCAAAGAGACCAGCATCAGGATTCATTGAGTTCTAAGAGTTTATTGAGGGGAGAAGGAGCGGTTTGCAGAGCAGGTGAGGACAGAGGCATTTACAGAGCTGATGAAGCATCTTCCAGTTGAAAAGCTCGCCACAAGAAGGTTCCACTGAAGGAGTCATCCTACAAACAGGCGAGTTGGTCAACTGAGCCCTAAAACTCAACTAAGAAAATGTATAACAGGACAGGAATGAAAGGAAATACTGTATTAAAAGAAAGCCTTTTAATAGTGTGACCAACACCAGCTTATTCATACTGATGGAGATCCATGGTTTGTATAAGCCACAGGCAAGGCAAAAAGGAAGAATTTAATCTTTACCTGTAGAAGTCATTTTTTTTTTATGTCATGCTTAACAATAGAAAGCATGACCTTGTTACGCTACTATTAGATCTGTTAGATTCTCACACATTTTCTTCTCTTCAATCTAATTACCTATCCTTTAATGTAGTGTATTTTTCTCCCCATTCGTATTGGTATTTTCATTGCATTGACCAGTCTCTAATTTATTTTGATTTGGAATTACCAATTTGAATTCCAGTTATATATTTTGAAATTCTCATCAGCTATCTTATTTTTTTGTGACCTAAAAAATGATTAACCTGTAGATTCAAGAATGATACTTCTGAAGGACCATTTGTCAAGTGCCAGAGGTGTGATTTTGATTTTTAATACGATCTTTCTGAGAGTCGTTTACTCATCATAGATTTCATAGCCCACCCTCTTTTTTCTTAATATAGTGAAATCACTGATTAAGACTCAAAACTCCTTCAAATAAAATTAAGATAAAGATATGTATTCCCATTCTTTGATTTTCGTAGAAAGGAACAAAATTAGATTTTTCTGCACAAAGAATTTTTGTGTAGTTTTTCTGCATATCTTAATAAATTCAATTTAATGAGAGATGATATAAATTTGTTAACACACCAATTTGTGATCATTTTTTTCAATATAATAGGTCATTAGTAATTATGATAAACCTATCTCTTCTCTGTAACTTTAGTAGACATTTCTCTTAATTCGAAGACTCTCATCATTTTTCTGTGTTTTTTCATTAAGTTAAATAATTCAGTAATAGGCATCTTTGAGGTTTTAAACCCGATCCAGTTTGCAGGGGTGGTTATAAGCATAAACTCCGGCAGCAGAGTGTAGGGACTCTAACTCCTTCTCTGCTAGGAAGCAGGTAAACTCGAACTTCTGCAATCTCTCTGTGCCTTGGTTTCCCATCTATAAAGTGAGAATGAGGTGCTTGCTGTCTTCAGGAGTTGCTGAAGGAAATAGGAGTTCACACATGAGCTATGATGTCCAATACCCAGTAGGAAGGGCCTTTCACCCCAACGTGATATATGCGGCCCCCTTGTCTAGTATCAGTTGATTTCAACATAGTTAATGGTAATAACTATCATAACTCATCTGCTTAAAGTTTTCTATTAGGTGTTTAGTACTTTTCATGCATCTAAAGCAGACAGCAGCCCCATGAGGCCATGCTGCTCCCTTTCTGGTCAGGGAGCGAGAGCTCAGAGAGCTCCGTCACCTTGTCCAATACTGAGAATGACCAAAAGACCCGGATGTAAACCAATGCTCTAACTGCAGAAGCCAAGTTCTGAATAAATTCCGCGATATTTTCTCCGCAAAAGGCCAAAGTAAAACACATAGATGAGCCTGATGATATTTATAAATTTCTTTCTTCCTTTTCTTGCTCCTCATATTCTGAGACGGTACCTTTCTTTTCCTGCTTGACTGCATTCGATACCCTAGATTCACATGTTGACCTAATCTTCCTGATAGTCTTCATAATTTTTATCAGCTACTGGGACTATTTTTCTTAAACTCCTCTTGTTACCTTTTAATTTATGGCCCTTTGAGAGTTTTTTGGAGAGGCTAGTCAGGTTGCTTGCTTTACTCATCCTATTGTTTTTTGTTTGTTTTATGTTAACAAATATATTTCTTTAGATTTCAATATTACTTTCTCATCTGTACTATTTTATCCTCTTTCCTGGTAATAATTGTATTTATTTTATTAGTAGTGAGTAATATGACATAAAAAAGGATTTATTTTCTGATATTAGTAACCATTTTCAGCAAGCTTAAAGGTAGATACTTAGTTTCCTGAACGGGGAAAAAATGCGTTTATCTGAAAAAAAGTCAAGTGTACTTAGTTTTTCCCTTCCGTCCTTGATTTGCTGGCCAGCTTATCATAACTCTTCTAGAAAATGAAATTTTGTTTACCTCTGTGCATTTCTTCTTCCAAAAGGAAGGTTATGCTTGGCCTAAATTTTAAACCCCTGTCACCAAAGCATATTGTTCATAAATTTTTAAAACATGAATTTTAAATAGACATGTTTGTCATATTTTGGAGAAAATATAAATCCTCCAGAAATTGCATAAAGACCTAAGAGAGATTTCCTGGTTGTGAACTTAATGTTTATTAGTCTAATTTGATCATTTTGAAATTTAATCCATCCGGGCAAGCCTCAGCATTTCAGAAGACTGACCCCTGGGAATATACACACCTTTTTCTTTACAAAGTTTTTCTTAAATATTTTTTTGATTTTCATCATTTCATGGTGTCTATAGTCCTAATTCTGGTTATTATAAAATTAAGTATTAAAAATTCATTGGAATCGAGAAACACTGAACTCTTCATTAAAAACCAGTTCTCAGTATTAGAAGGTATTTTTCTCTGTTCACTTTGCAACTTTTGTCATTTCAACACGATTTCCTTTATTTTTTTTAACAATTGTTTTCTCCATGTGACATAATTTCTTTTGCGTTTGACTTGGCATATGTCCCTTAATGTAAGAGAGGATACAATAAGCTCTGTCATTGTCCACTAAGAAGCACTCAGAAAGTCAGAGTCATGGAGGGTGATTTATAGTCCGAACCAAATGCCATATGGAGCACCCATGGTATAAATGGGTGTACTAGACACTAGCTGTATTTTGGACGTATTCTGATCTGCAGTGCCATGAAGTAAATATCCTATGTAAAGTTAACCATGGCTAATAATTGCTATAGCAGTTAATAATGTCACATTCTGTTAATATGAAAGATGGTATTCTCATTGTATAGGACAACTAAACTTTAGATGTCAAACATTTTTGAGATCCAGAAAACCTCAAAAATGACATGACATGAACTAAAAAAAAAAAAAAAAAATCTAGGCCAGGAAACAGAAAACCGAAACTCAGTTTGGAAATAAACCGATTTCAGTAACTGGTGTAAAATTTTCTCAAAACAATTTAGACATATTGAAAAGATGTAGATACTCTGGAAAAACCAAGTCAGCTCTTTATTCTGTCTGTTACAGTTCATCTCCTGCACATCTACCCTTCACCAAACTTATCTGCTACTCTGACAGCTTACAAAAATCTTCGGGGCGTTACTTTACAGGCGCTAGAGCAGCCCTGCATTTCCTGCTCTGGCCTAATTAGGGAGACATCAGCTCTGCCTCTCTCCACCTCCAGCCTCCCTTCCACTTTTCCTTATTTTTTTATTGAGGAAAATTAACTACATTACTAATTTTGTTTTAAACCCTAATAAACTTAATGTACCATCACGTGAACAAACCTTTTCTGAATTTTCTCAACGCGAACAATAATTTCACATCCATGATTTCCTATAAAATATTCCCTGTATTTCTTCTGGGTTCTTGTTTCACACGTAGCTTACATTTCAGAACGACAAACCTTCTCTGGAACATTCATTGGTAAACAATAAACGCACAACAGATGCGTTTTCCCCGGTAGCCAAAAGGTGTATTTCTGAAGTTGCATGCCGATTATCATTTTACTGGATAACATGGAATATGTTGGTTCAAATATGACTGGTTATTTTTTTTTATTCTTTCAAACCCCCCCTTTTTTTTATGTGTGTAATTTCTCCCCCTGCCTAGACCTCGTTAACCATTTCTGTGAGCAGGTCCTCAATTTTTTGCTTTGTCCCTACTTTCCTGTCCTAGCCCCATCTTCCCCTGGTGTCGACTCCGTCCCCTTGCAGCGCACCGGCAGCCAGCACGGCCCCCAGAATGCCACCGCCGCCGCCACCTTCCAGAGGGCCAGCTATGCCGCCGGCCCCGCCTCCAGCTACGCGGACCCCTACCGACAGCTACAGTACTGTCCCTCTGTCGAGTCTCCATACAGCAAATCCGGCCCTACCCTCCCACCCGAAGGCACCTTGGCCAGGTCCCCATCCATCGACAGCATCCAGAAAGACCCCAGGTGGGTACAAACATTTTCCCTTTTCCCTGCTTGTGTCTGAAGAGATTTCCTAATCAGGTGTTGTTACAGCGCGATTTTTTTTTTTTTTTCTGCATCACATTATTGCGTTCATGTGTTGACAGGTTGATTCTAGTTGGGTTTTGTAATCTTTGCTCTGGTCTGGGAT